TTTCTGCCAATAAAGTAATACTCAAATTCTTGCAGAATATAAAATAGTAGAACATATCTAAGATACATACTCACAGACAGGAACAGTAATAGTCGAATCATAATTTTAAAAGACAAAATCAGATTCCACCTTCAGACAGCGATGGCAAAGTGATAGCATATATCGCTGTTCCGGAAGTATAATAAAATAACTGTAAAATTTTGAAAAATGACTTTATGAAAAATATTCTGTTGGAGGGATTAAAACTGCATTTTCAACATATTTCGTAATTGTACTTACGAATTTCGCCATGACCGGTGATTCCGTAAGTACAGTTATGATTATTTAAAAATATATATAGAAAATACAGTTTTGAGCTCTCCAACACAACACAAGTCATTTTTCAAATTTTTACAATTAGGTGTTTATACTTCTTTAACAGCGATATATTGATTTCCAAGGACGTAGAAATTCTTTATGATATCAAGCTTATCTGTACTGCAGTTCTACAAGTACTACTTAGTACAAATCTATTTCACTTTGAATTAATGAACATTGGGGGAATGATTAGTTTAAAGCTCTCAACATAACCAAATATATTTTTTTTTTAAACATCAATTACAATTTTTTTTTGTAAAATATGTATATGAATGTTAAAAATATAAAGTTAATTTTACGAAATAATAATTTGTGTTATGAGAAGCTACAAATTTTGAATAAAAGTATAAACTTGTCATATTTTTTTGTAAAATGTATATGAAGGTTTAAAATATAAGTTACCTTTTATATATAGATAATTATTTATAATAATTATTTTATTATAAATTTGGAATATTCTTTGAAACGGATGGAATATTTTAAATCTTGCAACAGCTTCATTTTTCGCCAAATCTATTGCGCACGAACCTAGAAGTGGATTTAAAATAATTGGAACCGTGAAAATGCGAAAGTGAACCTACTGATTCTTTTTAAGCAATATACTGTGTTCTGTACTAACACTATTTCGTCAGCATTCATTAAGTACTTGTTAGTAAAAAACTTTACTTTATTAACAAAAATTAATTTAATATTTTGCCAGTTTTTGTTTCAGAAAGACATTTTGTGTGAAAATATATGTTGCCAATCTTCCTTTGTCCTACTATAATTTTTATCGTATTATTTATTGTGTCTTCTTTATTTACCTATCTGAACTAACGATTGGACCGTATCTTATACTACTTATTTTATTTGGAATTTTGATTCTTCTATATCATTTGTTAGTCTTTCAATTGCTAGCTCTTCTTTTACATTGTGTAAAGATGAACAAGATTCCCAAAAAAGAAAACAAATTAAATAGTAGGAAAAAAACACATATAAAACTGTATACGTTGGGATTAAAACGGTTTATAGCATGAAGTTACATTCGGCTTTTGTAACACTGAAGTCTATATAGGATGTTTCAAAAAGGTATGTCATAAATTAAATCACGCATTCCGGGAACAAAAACAAATTTATTGAATTCAACTTACCTCAGCACAAAAGTTTACCCAAAAAAAGTTACAGCCCTTTGAAGTTACAAAATAAAAATTGGTTTTTTGCATTATCTTCTAAACTATTTGACATATTTTAATAAAGATGGACACGCTACTTTCTTGTTCTGAAAGCATTTTTCATACAAAAGAAACAACAAAATGGAGCCCCAAATCCCCCCAAACTTTTGAGTACGTTCAAATCAAATGAATTTTGTAGCATCATTAGTTTGTGGCAACATATTATTTTTAAAACTTTTTTGCCTGCTATCACTTTTTCGAAAAACTAGTTTTTTCCTAATTGGCCATAAAATATCAATTAGTTTCTACGAATACAATAATTACAAATAGTTAAATCAATATTAGTTAATAATTTGAAGCTATCAGTTATTGTGTGAATAAGATTAATATTACAGATTTTGTTATTACAATGGCCTACACATGTCAGGAAATGGAAGATATGCATTTAACTTTGGGTAAGTTGATCAAATTAAATTATGATTTCAATTAACCATTGGGAATATCATAGGTGAATGTCAAGGAAATAGTGCAGCAGTCGCAAGGCGTTATGCAGTAAAATACCCCAATCGAAATACACCCGATAGACGAATATTTCTGACCATTGATCGTCGTTTACGCGAAACGGGTACATTTCAATCGAAAGTTGTTGGCAATAGTGGTCGTCCAATTATGGATACAACTAAAGAAGACATTTTAGAAATCATTGAAGAAGTCCCTGGAACAAGTATGAACGCAATAGCTACTCTAGTAAATGTTCCTCACGTAAGAGATTGGATGCGTTTGAAGGATCAGCTGCTTAAACTTTATAAGTTAACAACGGTTCAAGAGTTATTGGTTGAAGATTATTCTAAAAGGATTGGATTTTGCGATTGGTTGTTAATGGAAAACACTCGAAATGTTAATTTTATTAGAAATATTTTTTTTAGCGACGAGGCTACCTTTAGTAGAAATGGAATAATAAACCATCATAACAAGCACATTTAGGCCGACGAAAATTTCCACCAAAAAAAACGACTCATCACCATGTTTGGGCAGAAATTATGAATAAAAATATAATAGGTCCAGTATTCTCCCCAACAATTTAAATGGTGATAATTATTTGTAGTTCTTAGGAAATGATTACAAGAGTTTTCGAAAGAAGTAAATATTGCAATAAGGCAAAATATGTGATTTCTACAGATGGCGCTTTGCAGGCAGTATTCTGGTAGGTAGAATAAAAGGGGTCGTGACGCACCTATTTCTTGGCCACCCAGAAGTCCAGGTTTTAACCCCATGGACTTTTGCTTTTGGGGGTTTATGAAAGACAAAGTGTATTCTGTAACAATAGGGGACGAACAACAATTGAGGGTTAGAATAATTGAAGCTGCAAATCAATTTCGTCAGAAAAATATGATTTTTTACCGCCATCAGTTTTCCTTATTAAAACGATACCGAATGTGTATTGAAGAAAATGGGGGTCATTTAGAACATTTATTGTAATATCATATTTATAGAGTTTATAGACAGTTTTTGTACTTAATTCATTTAAGCGTAACTTTTTAAAGGTTAATGAAAAAGGTCGTAACTCAATAAAAACTGTTTTTTGAAAAAAGTGATAAGTGGCAAAGCAATTTAAAAAATATTGTGGTAAACTAATTATGCCACAAAATTTATTTGATTTGAACGTACTCAAAAGTTTGGGGGGATTTGAGGTTGCACAACCCCCTAAAAAATTTTCTGTGCCCTTAGATTTTGTTGTTTCTTTTTTACGAAAAATGCTTTGAGAACAGGAAAGTAACGTGTTAATTTTTATTACAAAATGTCAAGTGGTTTAGGAGGTATTGCAAAAAAACAATTTTTATTTTGCAACTTCAAAGGGCTGTAACTTTTTTTGGGTAAACTTTTGTGCTAAGGTAAGTTGAATTCAATAAATTTATTTTTGTCCCTGGAATGCGTGAATTAATTTATGGCATACCTTTTTAAAACACCCTGTATTTATGTTACATATTTACTTGTTTAAATCTGTTATACATGGATTAAGTAAGTTACTGTAATCATTCAAACACTATTAAACTATTATGTAATTATATGACCCATTATTTGTAACACTGGGTAGCTGTATTTACCTTCGATAATGTATTACTACACATGTAAGTCACTTTTATACATAATTATCTGTTTTTCACTCATTCTAAGAAGACACTTTTTGCCATTCTCTTCTAATTAAATAAAATTTTCTCCTCGTTCTGTTAAGACCCGTTTTCACGCTACGTCTTATTGTACGTTTTGTTGGATAGGACAAATCCTATACAATAAAACGTGGCGTGTATACAGCAAAACTTACGTCTTGTCGAATCGAAATGAAATCCAAATACATTGTGTGTATATGTTACGAGCAATGTCCGAAATTGGACAATCCTAGCATTGTACGGAAAATCTTGTCCACTTCTAGCATTGTACCCCTTTACTGTACAATCTCCGAAATAGACATAATCGTCGGACTTTGTATAAAGGAATTGCTGTACAATGTTCGAATTTCAATAAGTCGATAAGTAGCAATACGTCAAAGTTAGGAAGAATATGACAGATATCGATTATTTTTATGATTATTCCCCATTTGATATTAAAGACAAACAAACATCAATTACGATATAAATCCTAAATTAATCTATTAGTTAGTTGCTGGAACTTGATATATTAAATTAAATTTAATTAAACTTCATTTATAAACTTAAAAATAATGTTTAATAAAATTAATTAATATTATATCGCATGCTCTTTCGCGATTTATTAAAACGACATGACAACACTGCCAAATACAGAACTTTCCTTCATTTCTTCAATGGAAATTTTTATATACCTACTTTTATGTGCTTTTATCTATCACTCTATGGTAGAACAATTTCTTCTTATTTATATTTTAGTTTGACACAGCATTTTATAACGTTGTCGATTCAAAAAAGTACAAGTTTGTATGTAAAATAGAAAATAAAAAATATCAAATAATTAACAAGAAATGTTTGATTTTTGATTTGATGTGTCGCTTGTCAATAATAATCGATTCGAATCGATAAGCGTCTCGATAATCATTTTTAAATTTGATCATTTCAAACATTGTACAATTTGGGGGTAGAATGCTAGAAGTGGACAATAATTTCCGTACAATGCTAGGATTGCCCAATTTCGGGCTTTGCTCGTAACATATACACTGGACAAAACGTACGTTTTGTCGTACGGTTTATATGACCGACAAAACGTACAATAAGACGTAGCGTGAAAACGAGCCTTAAGGCTGCGTTCATACTCGGGCGATAAAAGTAAAAGATAAGCGATATATCGTAAATGATATGCGAGACGCGATACGCACAAACAGATACTTAAAATCTAAATAGAGACGATAAAAAAGGTTTACTTCCGCGCGATTGCACAACATATCTCAAGTGATATATAGTTCGAGTGCTACCTGTCGGTCGCCCTCGCGATTTATTTCACACGATATTTCAAGCTATTAACATGTCGGGAAGAAAAGAAGACAGTTCTGTGATTCTTTTTATTAATTTAGCGAAAGCTCGTCAGTGCATCTGGAATTATTCCCTTACTGCTTACAGATGTGACGAGCACTGCATGGAGGAAAATTGCATCAAAAATCAAAGATACAGGTAAATGCATTGTTTATTTATTTATTTATTATTTATTAGGTGAAACAGTGAAAAAAATAGTGAAAATATTTACATACAGATACAGATTTAAAGCATTCACTTACTAAATAACTGGATCTTGTAAACCGACACATTCCCACTGTTTGGGATTGCACCAGCTGGTTTTAAAAAGTTTACACCTAGTTTATTTCGTAAGCGGTTTGCTGTATTTAAATTGCTGTCTTTACTAAACGTAATGTTATCTGGCAATGCTGGTACTATACAACACTTCTTAAAGGACTGTGAAACATAAGGTTGCCCTTCTCGTCTGCCTATTATATTTATGAAGTACGCATGCTGCCTTAATCGTTTGCACAGCATTACTTGTGTTAGTATAAATTGGTCGGTCAAATAGACGAAATTTTGAGGTTAGTATTCCAAAACTACATTCCACACTTTTCTACCTCTTGAAAGTCGAAAATTGAATATTTTTTGGCATCATTTAATACTCTTTTTGGAAAGGGCCGCATATATTATGTTGGAGACGAAATGCTTGCTCTGCCACAACGCAGAATGGAAAAGTATTATCATTTGAACAATCGTAAAATAGTTTCGAAACAATTGTTTGGAAACTATTTTACGATTGTTGTAATTAGATGTCGCTACTGCGTCCGTATTGAAGCCATGTTATTGTTGCTTCTTAAAAAGCAGAAAATATTGATTTTTCACGTTGAGGACTCCTATGAATAGCTCTTCTGACGAGACCTATTAGGTCGAAATACGTATCAAGAGATACATAGGATTTGTTTGCGTGAAATCAAATATTTGCTGCCTTTCTTCATATTATCATTTGCTTCGCCTGGCAAGGGAGTTGCCAATTTGTTATTGGTATGTTCAATTTGTTATTATGCAATAATTTGCCTACTGTTGATTTGCGAAATACAGCACCCACTATTCCGTCCATAGTCTCCGACATCTATTGCAGTGAACATTCCATCTGCGTCAGATAAAGCGATCAGAACAATTGAAAATAACCCTTTATAATTATAATATTATGACACTGTATTAGGGAGACACTGAATGCGGAAATGTTTTCCATCAAGAGAACCAATCCAGTTAGATAAATTCCATAACTCATAATAACGTTTTGATAGTTGCTTTCAAGTTTCCTCCGTTGGTTGAGCCGTATACTGTGGCTGTAAGTGAGACCATACAGCATCACAAGTCGAATGAACAAGGTAGCTGATGGCTGATCAACCTCTGTAAAATTGTAAGGAAGTATCTTGAAAACTACTTCCAAACTGCTGAAAAAAAAAGTTAAATTAGTTGGAAGTGTTAAATAGTTGTGTTAATATAAGTGTTTTTGTTTTAATAGACATCATTTTAACATGTAATTTATTTTAAATTTTGTTTCAGAAAAAACTGTCGAGAGCGATGGAAGAACATCAGAACAGCATATGTGCGCTCACTGAAACCGCCAAAGTCTGGCGCTAGTCAAAATTCAAAGAAAAGTTATTATTTGGCCGAACATTTAGCTTTTCTACGACCATATTTAAAAGGAGGAGAAACCGTCAGGAAATCTTACACAGTTCAAGATACTGCAGTAGAGGAGTCCTACGCCAATCAAAATGAAGGAAGTGAGACAATTATTGAAGTGAAAATACTTGATTAAGCTTCTTCAGAGCAATTAATAGAAAAACCTGCTCATAACAACTTAAAACAAACATAGAAAAAACGAAAGGGAATAGACCAAGTCGACGACGCTTTTATAGAATGCTTAAAAACGAAAAAATCTGTTAATAAAAATAATCAAGATGGTAAACAGCATTTCCTTTTTTCTCTTTTACCTGATTTGAAAAACCTTAGTTTGCGTCGTAAGAGGACTTTCAAAATAAAAACAATGTCTTTCTTACATAAGTTGTTAGAGGAAGATGAACGAGGAAATGTAGAATCCAGCATTTCATTTGCTTCTAGCCCACCTGTATGTAGTTTGTCATCACATCATGACACTGAACAAACTCAATCTCACATGCGTAATATTGCAGCAACTGCGGAATTCAATTCGATTACCCAAATGCTAAAAGAAAGTGAAACTCAGTGGTACAATTTTTAAAAAACTATAAAAATAAAACTGTTTTAATAACAAAAAAAATTGAAAATAGAACGTCTACATTTTATTTAAATTGCTGATTATATTTATAGCTATTTACCTTATAGTAATCAGGAGTTTTTCGTCTAGAGAAATAGCCTTCCTGAAGTGAGTATCTTTTTTTTCAATGGTTCTTGACACTAAGCTTCTTCAAAAAATGAAAATTTTTAGGTTTCATTCGATAAAATTCTTTGAACTTTGATTCGTGTTGTGACAGCTCATTGGAAACAACAGCCGAGCAATGGTGCGCGTTGATAAGGATGTACCCAGTATTTTCTTTTTCTTTTCATTCTACGCCTAAACCAATAAGCCACTACAACGTCTTTCTCACTTGAGCTCATAATTGTAACTGAAGAGAATTGTGCTTCCACCATCATCGCACTGTCGCGACGATTTATCGTCCGTTCTCTTTGAACCTTCCTAGCAATATATCGTGGCGATAAAATGTCGCTTATCGGATATCGCCCGAGTATGAACGCCGCCTAATAGAACCAGATATGTACTGATGCTGTTTTGTAAATACAAAACGAAAAGTTTTTGTTAATATAATGGAATAGTTAACACCTAGCTTGTTTCTATTTTCATGCAAACGTCATTTTATGTTTTTATAACGTTTTTTATAAGTCCTAGAAATGTGTAATAGGTCAGAACATTATGATAAAATTATAAGGAGAATTGTGGAAACAACGGCTTCATTCAACAACAATACTCTCAAATCAAAATACTTTTGATATTATGTATGTTTAGAATTAAAAATTTAAAATGTTCAACATTGTTCATTTACAATAAAAAACGGTTTTCCAGCATTTTTTCTGCCATAAAAATAATAGTATATTACTTTATGAGGCGGAGAAGCATGACTTTTCTTGACGCGCCCGATAAGTCGGCAAAGAAGCGACTTTTCTTGACTTGCCCTCTATTACGCGTAATAGAGGGCAAGTCAAGAAAAGTCGCTTCTTTGCCGAATAAAGTATACTATTTTTTCTTCAAACGTAGCAATTTTCAACCATAAATAGTACAATTCATACGCTATTTTTACTCGAAATTAACTGTGACAACTATCAAAGTCGTCTAGATGTTAGAAATTACAATAATTAAGTCGCCGGTGGGATTTGCGTCTCCCTGGTTACAGTTGTTTGACAGTTGCTTGCAATTATTAAAGACAGCTTATTGTTGTTGCAACCGCAAACGTAAATTTAGTGCGAAAATGGGAAACGAAATTGACTCCGCAGCTAATGATGCAGTAGCACGTTTGGGGCCCTCCAAGTCCGGAATAAAGTATTGGTTAGCGTACAAGCACTTCCAAGAGTGGTGCGATACAAGAGGAGTACGGCAATTTACCGAAGATGTTTTACTGGCATATTTTAATATAATGGAAAATGAAAATAAATGGAAATCTTCTACAATGTGGTCACGATACTGTATGATAAAATCCGAGTTAGTTATTAGAAAAAATGTGGATATAAGCAAATTTTTTTTGACAAACTTTCTGAATAAAACAAGCGAAGGTTATACTGCAAAGAAGTCTAAAATTTTCACTAAAGACAAGTTTGATAAATTTTTGTTAAGTTGTATTTAGGATTAAAGGTAAAAAAATTATATTGCAAAGCATGTAGTATACTCTACTAAATTATAAAAATATTTCGGATTGTTTTGTTAATTGGGGTTACCGGCGCCTGTCGATGCGACGAAATGGTAAAAATGAAGACTATGAACATTGAGGATAAAGAAAATGTTATAATTATCAAAATCCCAGACAGTAAAACACGACAAATGAGATCTTTTTCGATAATTGGTCAAAACTACATTAAACTGTATTAAAGTATGCATCTCTGCGGCCTGAAAATTTCACAGAAAACCGATTTTTTATCAAGTACCAAAATGGAAAGTGTTACCGAAGCGTCATGGGAATACATTCGATCAGCGCAGTAGCCCAAAAAGTAGCTAGTTATTTAAATTTAAACGATGCAAGCGCAAACACTGGTCACTCTTTACGACGAACTTCAGCAACACTTTTAATTGATGGAGGCGGAAATCTAGAATGCCTCACAAGACATGGGGGCTGGAAATCAAGCACGGTTGCCGAAGGATATATAGAGGATTCAATAAGAAATAAGAACGATAATGCTCAAAAAATTTTAAACCTTCATGATTCGCCAACATCGGGAATGATTGCTGAAAGTTGTTCTCGACCATCAGCATCATCAACAATTACCAATGCGTATCAAGAGTCGGGAACATTTTTGCACGGTTTCAATGTTGAAAATGCCTCATTAAATAATTGTACTTTTAACATTACTATAAATAAAAATGATGTTTAATTGTTGTTAATGACATTTGTATTGTTGCTTTGTGACATATTTCATATTGTTGCCATGACAAAATTTTTCCCTCCGCCGGTAAAGAAATGGGAAAAAAACTGCTGCCGGCGGAGACATCAAACTTTGACAGGATCAAGTTAGATAAGTAATGTCATCATTATTTGACGTTTGAAGAAAAAACATTATTTTATGTAATATTTCAATACATTTTAACAATTATAACTGTAATGAAAGAATTCTGAATAAATTAAATTTTAAAATCTACTGCGAATGTTAAAAATATTAAAATCTAATTGAGTATATTAAATTCATAAAATGTTCGATATATATTTCTATCGTAATTGTACATACAAGTTAGTCACACAGTGACAATATACAAAAGAGCAATGTAGTAGTTGATAGACGGATACCTAAAAAAAATATAACACATTGTTCGAGGCAGTTCAACAACAGATAAAATTTTCATTATAAAGGAACTGATGAAAAAATATATCAATAAAGAAAAGACGTTTATATGTTATTTATTGATCTTAAGAAAGCATATTATAGAGCGCTTGGATATAGGTTATTGATTATATCCAAAAAATAGGGCGAAAAGGAACTACAATGTTAAAGGAGTTTATTATTTTATATGGTCAGTGGACCCCCAAATATGAAAAAATCTCCTTGTGCTACCCTTTAAAGTGGTGCGTTTTTGAGAAAGGGGTAAATTAGACCCCATGCACTAGGATGCATTAGTGTAAATTCTATAAATTTTTCATAGATATACGTCTACAAAAAAAAGTGTTTGAAATTAAATTGCCCGCCCATTGAAAATGAAAAATAATTTTTTTTTGCCAAAAATGTATTCAAAAAATTTAGCAAAAAACAGGAACACACTCGAGTTTTCTTTTTTGTCCCGTAACTTTTGGTTGGATGATACCCATCCAGTAGAGCTGTACAAGCTGTTACATGGTTCCAGAATACTGGAATGCGTATCATGAAGAATTGGAAGATGTACAATAAACCAACTTGCTGCAGTACGACCAGTTTACAACAGACGACATTTATAGAAAAAAATGTAGTTTTAAACGTTGGACGTTTAATTTAGTTCTTAATATTAAATGAGTCACCCAGTAAATGCGAGTATTTTATAGTAACTGTGATTTTTCTTTACATATGAACTTAAAAATGTGTATATTTCTAAAATAATTATTTAAAAGATTTCATTACAAATAAATAAAATAATAAATCGTGTGTTCCCTAATATAAAAAAAAAAACAAAGACAAATAACAATATGTATAACCATACAACATCAACAACTCTCTTCAACAAAAAATTATAAACTTATTTAACAATATTCTCTAAAGTAAAACTGAATTGCAATTATTGAAACAATGCACCCATATCTGATGTATCAGCTGTTTACCCACTGGCTTCGACGTCGGCTCCAGCAGTGAACAGCTGATAGTCTGTGATCGTGATCAGCCTACACCGGTTTCAAAAATCCTATCACCTGCTCACGAAATCTCAGCCCTCATAGACATGCACCTAACTGGTTTCTTATACTAATTTATGCTTTTGCATGGTTTAAATCTTTTGTATATTTTTCATCGCTTACTCGCAAAGGTTCGGTTAAGCTAGATATTAGACACATGGGATGTTGATGTGTTTTTAGTTATTAAAAAATAGTTTTAAATGTAATCAAAATATCTATAACAAAATTTTTATACAGAAAAAATTAAATGTTGTCAAGACTAGGTATACAATGTGAGTCAAAAAAGATCGAACAAATTGAAACTGTATGATACAGAAGGAACAAAAATATATTTTTTTAATTTTGTTTAACATTTTTTGTGATTCTAAAGATATTAAAGAAAGAAAAGGTTTTCATGATCATTTATACGATATACTTAAAGATATTCTACATGAATGAGAGTCATAATAAGAGGTGAGTGCACATGTGGTTTAATCCAAGAGAAAATTTGATCCAAAATATCGAAGAATAAGCTTTGGAACTAAAAATAAAACTGGAGTTAATATGCTAGGATTAGAAACAGCATTACATATGGTAATTAATAATACATTCTTTTAGAAGACAGAAAATTAACCTAACATATACAAAAATAGAGAAAATATGGAGAGAATATATATATATATATATATATATATATATATATATATATATATATATATATATATATATATATATATATATATAT